GCGGAATAGGAGTTTCTGTTTCCTGTAACCGGCCGGACTGACAGGAAGTGCACACTCAGCGTGCGCCTTCCTATCACTCCGGCCAGGCACCGCGGACAGCAGAGCAGCTCAGCCACACCGCGGACAGCAGAGCAGCTCGGCCACGCTACAGGGGAGGGGAGGAGCAGGAACAGAATTTGGGGCGGCCTGGGGGGCAATTGCCTCCCTGCCCCCCGGCCCAGCCCGCCCCTGTCAGTGGCACACCCTTTAACCGTGCCCATTGACTTCCTGCCTGACTGGACACTGCTGTTAGGGGCTATGGATTTACTTGAAAGATGAAAACATAAATTAGAGGGAGATTAGCATAGAGTGTGTGTTTTCTTATAGCTGCTGTTTTCTTTCTCTCCAGCACCATCTCCATCAGATACATGATGCATGGGAGTGTTTTACTGTTTTTGGTCGATATGATTCTGTAATTAGGCCCGTCATAATTGTCAGCACCAGGCCCACTGGGCTCTTAATCTGGCCCTGTGTACAATGTCTGTCTCAGTATACAAGGATAATACAATACTATAGAGACTAAGATGTGAATATAATCAGTCCACAGTTTCTATAGATGTGAGCTGATTACCTGTAGGTAGTGAGTCACTCCACTATGCTTTCCATAGATTGTGGAACAGGCGCCAGTTTGACTAGAGTGTTGATCAATTGATCACGTCTGTATAGATACTTGTGGATAATCAGTAACAAAATAAATTTTCAACTCAAAGATTTGAGTTGAAAATTTATTTCACTCTATCTATGTACTCATACACTCTTAATATTGCTGCAATCTGTTAGCAAACTTGTACACTCTCCCTATAGCACCTTAGTGGGTGCCAATTAAATAAAGTATGCCTGTAGGTATCTCTCAATCATATAGAGTTCCTTGGGGGGAAAAAATCCCCCAATCTCCAAATAAATGAATCCCCCTCCCTCCTCGTAGATAGAAAAAAAATAAATAAATAATAGAGTGAAAAAAAAAGCCTTTTCTCCCCTGACAAAGGTGCCTCTAAGAGCACCGAAACGTGCGTCGGGATTATTTTATTTTATGGATACGAAGGCAAACAGATTTGCTTCCCTCAACCTCAACCCGATTTCATAGATGCCCTTTCCACTCCATGGAAATTCCATCTGGCTTAGATTTTTCCCTAGTTGTGTGCGTATGGTACCCTTATGTGTGATTGTTATTTTAATGGGGAACTGTCACCTCAATACTATCTTTAAAAATAATGATGCTTTTTATCAAGTTTTGAAATTAAATTGATTCTTTGTTAAATAAAGTATAAGTAACATAAAACAAAAAAAAACAACCCAAAGGAAAAACTCATCACTAACTTTGGTACATGACAGGAGCATTCAGTCATAATACATGTACCTTGGGACAGACAGTGTTTAAAACCTCTATAAAGTCTCTATGGCAGTGGCGGAACTACCGCTGGTGCAGCCATTGCGGCTGCACCGGGGCCCACCTGCTCAGGGAGCCCATCAGGTGGCCCATGCACTTAGGGCCACTTAATGGGTATTATTGCTTTATTGTTTAACAGGAGCCCGGTCAGACACCACAGCACTTTAAGAGCCTGACTGGGCCCCTGTGATATCGGCGGGCTGGGAGGAAATGATAGCCAATCACTTCCTTACAGAATCTTACTGATAGCTCTGCACGGGAGGAAGAAGGAAGCAGAGGCACAAGCAGCGTGAGGAGAGAGAGACAGGAGCAGGTGCAGCTCCTCTCAGGCAGCAGGACTTCAAACAAGGCACACTCCTGGAAATGTTAACAGGAGGGTTGCTGAAAATATAAAAACATTTATGTGTTTATGTTGGATTGCGTGTTTATCTGTTTTACAGTGTGTTTATGTGCCAGTGTCTGTTTCTTTTGTCTGTGTTTGTATATGTCAGTATGTATATATATATATATATGTATCTGTGTGTTAATGTGTATGTACAGTATATGTGTGTAAGTATTTAGGCCAGTGTGTTTGTGTGTGTCTACATGTCAGGGTGTGCATCTGTGTCTCAGGGTGTGCATCTGCGTGTGTGTATAAGTCAGTGTGTATCTGTGTGTCAGGGTGTGTGCATGTGTCAGTATGTATATGAATTTGAGTGTATGTGTCAGTGTGTTTATATGTATGTATGTGGCAGTGTATGTGTGTATGCACATCCAAGCAAACACAAACATTACATACAATCACACATGTACATCTGCATCTAAAAGCCAACAATGCATCCAAACACCCCTGCAATCAAATGCAAACATTACAAACACTACACACAAAAGCACCCCTACATTTAAAAGCCAACACTACATACCAACACACCCCTGCATTCAAACGCAAACACTACACATAAGTACAACAATGCATTCCAATGGCAAAAGTACATATAAATACACCCCTGCACACATGTAGTCTATACAAGAACATAAGGAGTTTGCATTACTTTTGTGGTCTTATTAAAAATTGCACATTATTACACTTTATTGTGTGTTTTTGCACAGTGCACTTTGCCACATAAGGAGTTTGCATTACTTTTGTAGTCTTATTAAAAATTGCACATTATTGCACTTTATTGTGTGTTTTTGCACAGTGCACTTTGTGTACAAATATACTGTCACACCATTTGTTTTATGTGAAATATACTTTTACTATAAGGTAGTAAGGTAGTTTTAGTCTTAAAGACACAGCGCAATTTATTTTTTTGTTTATGTTGTTACGTGTGTTTGGAGCTTTTCAAATTATATAGTGCTGCTTTTTCAAAATTTTACTTGTAGTGTTACATTGTCAGCACCATACTTTCACTTGTTTTTTGTACACTTTATACAAAAACATGCTTATATTCAAATGCACAAATAATGCTCACAAATAAAACCCTGCAAGGATTGGCAAATGGTAGATCCCCAGCTGACATAGCATCACTCTTGGGGAGACCCAAAAAACTTTCTTGCACCAGGGCCTTCTCTACATACATTATGCTACTGCTCTATGGTCTTCCCTGGTTTACACCATGCACAGTGGCATTATCAGACTGTCAAATTCAAACACTTTCTGAAGCAAAGTGCACGCATAGTATACGTCTAAAGTTTCCCGTCCTATACTAAGGGTAGGGTAATTTTTTTTACATATACTTAATTTAACACAGGATCTGTTTCCATTTACAGCTTGATGAAAGGGTTATATATAAAAATAAAAAAGTAACAATAGTGTTGCGGTGACAGTTATCCTTTAAGGACACCAAATTAGGGAGCTATCTACTAAACACAACAGTTCCTTAATTCAGTACCCTTATGTGGTATTTACATATTTGGATATTAAATTGTGGCACTTTTTCACACAGTTCTCCTTTATTCGGTATCCTTAAATATGGCAATCCCACGTAAAGATAGCAAATTAGGGAGTTATCCACTAAACAGCTGAAATATAAAAATTAAGCAAAAAGTTCCTTTTACTAATTTTGATCTTCCAGCTGTTTTAGCAGATAGCTCCCTAATGTGGGATTACTATGTTTAAATGGACACTATGGGTACCCAGACTGCTTCAGCCCGCTGGAGTGGTCTGTGTGCAGTGACCCTGTCCCCTTAAAACTGAAATCTTAATTATTGTAGTTTTTTGAAAAACAGCAATAATTATATTGTAGGACTAAGACTGCCTCTAGTGGCTGTCAATCAGACAACTGCTAGAGGCACTTCCTGCTTGCTAGGCGACTTTTGTTCTAACTGACACTGGACGTCCTTGTGCATTGCAGTAAGCCATCCAGCGTCAGTTAATTCCCCGTAGTAGAGCATTGCACCAATGCTTTCCTGTGGGTTCCCCGTAGTAGAGCATTGCACCAATGCTTTCTTGTGGGGTCCAAATGCGGTCGCCGTACATGCGCACCCCCCGTGGGTGATGTCAGTAGTCACATTCACCATTCAAACGCCAAACTGCTTGCATTGACACCAAATACTAAAAGGAAGCGTGTGGGGTGTTGCATTGAGGAAACTGGCCTAGGGGCAGCAAGGATCAATTAGTCCATTTAAGGTCAAAATACCCAAAATGAAAACAGGATTGACCTAAATATTGAATTTTGAATTCCCAGCAATTCAATTTCCTCACTTTACTGAATAGCACTGACAGTGCTGATGTTTATTGCAGGAGCCTTTTTTTCTGCCCTAGTAAAAGCTCACAGTTAAAGCTGCAATGTCTGGATTTGCATGAAAGTGAAACTACCACTTACCTGGCACGGCTCCACTGCTGCGATCTCCTTAAAAAAGTGAGCGTTACACTTTTATAAAAGAGCAGAGAGACCTCTTCTGCTTCACACTGTGCAGCACTGCCCCAGGAGGTACCACTTGTAGCCATCTGAGGAGTGGTCAGTGGAGATATCACTAGGCTGTAATGTAAACACTTCCTTTTCTCTGAAAAAACAGGGTTTACTGCAAAATGCCTGAAGGTAATGATTCTACTCACAAGAATAAATACAATAAGCTGTAGTTGTTCTGGTAACTATAGTGTCCCTTTAAAAGCAGGTAGAGTTTTTATGATTTTGATATAATTTTTTCCTTTGTTTAACCATTTGTTTTAACATGTTTTCATAATATAAAAACACACACACTCTCACTCTCTCTCTCTAAAGCTCAATGTATCAGTGGGAGCACTAGAAGCTGATTGAACATGTGTAATACAGCTGCGAGCAGCATCTTGCAAAATACAGGAGGGAGGAAAATACGCATGGAAAACACTCAAGCATAGAAATGAGAGCCGCCTGCAGCTTCTTTTCAGTTGTGTGAACAGTCTGCTTTCATTTTGTATGGCTCAGCAGCATTCCAATGCCGGCTATAAAAATGAGTTGAACATTAGTGAACACAATTCAGAGCACTCCATTGCAAAATAATCTAACGCTCATGCAGAATTTAAAAGCATCCGGCCAAAATAGACGAACTTTCTCTCCTGCACCATCTCCATCAGATACATGATGCTTGGGAGTGTTTTACTGTTTTTGGTCGATATGATTCTGTAATTAGGCCCTTCATAATTGTCAGCACCAGGCCCACTGGGCCAAAATAGACGAACTGGAAAACTTCTGTCGGCTATACTTCTAGGTCGGCTGCTATGACCTTAATTCTGAAATTTACTTTGAATTCTGACAAATAGCACTGTTAATATGAGCAGCCTCATTCTCTGGTGTGCACGCTTGCGTGCTCTTTGTGGGCAAGTGTTTTGTTCGTAATTAAAGACCAGACTTTCTGTTCTATGTATAATATTAGGGAAACACTTCTGGGTTTGCTGCCCTCGCAGTCGCAGGTGCCCATAGCAGCTCCTATTTAAAGGGACACACAGACCACTTCAGCTCAGTGAAGTGGTCTGTGTGCAGTGTCCCAGGTCCCTTTACTCTTCAATGGTAATTATTGCAGTATTTGATAACCCTCCAAAGCAATTATTGCAGTTTAACTCCTCCTCTTTCATATTAAAGGGACACTATTGGCATCCAGACCAGTTTAGCTGGTGGTCTGGGTGCATATTGCCAGGTCCCTTAACTCTGCAATAGTAATTATTGCAGTTATTAAGAAACTGCAATAATTAATTTTCATGGTTAACTCCACTGCTAGAGGGATTTCCGGGCTGTTAGGCGCCTTTTGGTCGCCTGACGCTGGAGGTCCTCACGCTATCCAGCGTCACCCAAATCTTACAGGAAAGTATTATATAATGCTTTACTATGGGGGAAGTCTTAATGCGAGCAGAATCATTGCCACGCATGCCCATTAGGTCTTCCCCGACGGCTGACATCAGCAGGGATGGAGGAGAGGCAGAGTCCGAGTCGAGAGACATTGTGCTGAACTCAGGTTTTTAACCCCTTCTGCACCACGGGGAGGTAGGGGGGCACTATAGAGAGCTATAGTGCTAGGAAACAACTTTGTTTTCCTGGCATTATAAATTCCCTTTTAGTGTACACACCCTTATTATAGATCATTTTGTTCATGAGAAAAGGGGCTTTCATCTCACATCAAATGTCTCACAAGTACAACAGTATCCCCAATATACAGGTTTTATGGTGTTTTGGAGAGTTACAGGGTCAAATAAAGGGCTTTCCCCTTTTCAGTTTTTACACAATAAAATTTGCCAGATTGGTTTGCTGGGCCTATGTTGCCTTTGAGACCATATGGCAGCTAGGGTTGCCACATTTTTTGGGGAAAAAATACCGGTCATTCGAATTTGCATAATTAATTATATATCTGTGACATCATAGGGCATGACGTACATAAAATAATGAGAACATTTGGAAGTAGAAAATTCCCAAATAAACTACCGTATATACTCGAGTATAAGCAGAGTTTTTCGGCACATTTTTTGTGCTGAAAAACCCCAACTCGGCTTATACTTTAGTCAGTCTGTATTGTGGCAACTTACATTGCCACAATACAGACCAGGACCGCCTGGCTCATTACAAGCGCGGTGGTCCTGTTGGGGGCTGACAGTGAGCTGTTACTTACCTTCCTGCAGCTCCTGTCAGCTCCCTTCTCCTCCGTGCAGCTCCTCTGTCAGCTCCGTTCTGCTCCCAGTGTAAATCTCGCGAGACCCGCGCTTACACTGTAAACAGAACAGAGCTGACCGGGGAGCTGCACGGAGAAGGGAGCTGACAGGAGCTGGAGGAAGGTAAGTAACAGCTCACTGTCAGCCCCCCCCACTGAACTGCCAATGCCACTGGACCACCAGGGATTTAATATTATTTTATTTTAATAATAATAAAATAATATTATTAAAATAATATTATTTTATTATTATATTGTTATTTTAATATTTACATTATTTTTTTTAAATGTTTTTTTGTCCCCCCTCCCGGCTTGTTGCCTGGTCAGGGAGGGGGGACAAAAAACATTTTAAAAACAATAATGCAAATATAAAAATAATATAATAATAAAATAATATTTTAATATTATATTATATTATTATTTTAATATTTGCATTATTTAAAAAAAAAAAAAATGTTGTCCCCCCTCCCTGACCAGGCAACAAACAGGGAGGGGGGACAAAAAAACATTTAAAAAAAATTAAAATAATAATATAATAAAAATAACATTAAAATAAAAATGCCCTCCCCTGATCCAGTTTACACACACTGCACAAACACACTGCATTCATTATATATACACACACACAAACACACTCTGCATTCATTCTATACACACACTGTAAATAAATATTCAATTAATGTAATTTTATTGGGATCTAATTTTATTTAGAAATGTACCAGTAGCTGCTGCATTTCCCACCCTAGGCTTATACTCAAGTCAATAAGTTTTCCCAGTTTTTTGTGGTAAAATTAGGGGCCTCTGCTTATATTCGGGTCGGCTTATACTCGAGTATATACGGTACTTATAATGCTTGAACTTTGACTGTGTGTATAACATTGTAAATGTGAGGCAGTGTGTATGTACTGTCTGTATGAGTGTGTGTGTAGTAGTGTGTCGTTGTCTAAATGTGTATAACAGTGTGACCATACTGTTGTCTGAGCGTGTCATTGTCTGTATACTTAGAGTGTGTGTATATAGTATATAACAATGTGTGTACCGTACATACCATTTATAACAGAGATGGATATTCTGCTGAATACATACAGACTGCTGAATAAACATACAGAGACTGCTGTATACATACATACTTCAGAATATATATATATACATACATACACACACACACAGACTGCTGAGAACACGCAGAGACTGCTACATACACACAGAGACTTCTGAATATATACAGAGACTGCTACACACACACACTGCTGAATACACATACACACACAGACTGACTGCTGAATACATACACATACTGCTGAATACACATACACACACACAGACTGACTGCTGAATACATACACAACTGCTTAGTACACACAGACTGCTGAACACACACACACAGACTACTGAATACATACAGAGAATGCTGTACACACAGATTGCTGAGTGTACACACACACACAGACACACACACTGCTGAATACACACACAAGTACCTGATCTCAAGACACAGCTCCCGCTGCCATGCCTCCACCTCCATGACCAACAGCTCCTGCTCCTCCCATGGGTACTCTATCAGTCGAGAGGGCAGGGACAAGCTGCGACATCCCATCTCAGCCCTCTCCACACAGCCAAGCACCAACAAGTTTTCTTAACATGGCCTGAGTGCACTGCACACTCTCGTGGCCGGTGCCAATACTGCAGCATATTCTCTTCAAAGAAAAATACAGGCAATTGTATTGCCAGTATTTTTGCAATACTGGCACCGGCCACAGTGCATCAAATACCAGCCAAGTGGCAACCCTAAATTGGCAGCCCAGCAATTAAAAGCTATCCCCATCATGGCATACTATTTGCAAAAGTAGACAACCCAAGATATTCAAGATGGGGTATGTCCAGTCTTTTTTTTTTTTTTTGGCTACTTGGGTCACTAACTCTGGCCAAAGTTCTTGTTTTTTTATTTTTTTTTCACAACAAAACTGCACTTTCACTGATATCATCATAATATGTTTTACTGTTTTGAAACCATCATATATTTGTGTTCTGTAAAGTCTCCCGAGTACAACAGTATCCCTCATATTCAGATTTTATGGTGCATAGAAAAGTTACAGGGTTACATATAGGGCTTGCAAATGAAATTATGTGGACTTTCTGCCTGGGTTGTCAGATTTTAACTAATAAAAATCACACCATTATGTAAAAAGATTACATAAATATACATATATATATATATATATATATATCGTTTTAAAAAATATTTTATATATACACTGATATAATATTCTAAGTGTATGTTGATTATCAATAATACATATAAAAATAGAATGAAATTACACACACTTTTTTATTATTGTTTTATTGTAAAAGAAAGTGTATGTGTGTTTGTATATTTGCACTTATGATTAAGCTTTTTTTGTTTTGTTTAATAAAATGTGTATTTTTTTTTTTTTAAACTTTATTACAGCTTTAGAGACTGCCTGACAACGCAGGCAGTGCTGAAGACTGCTAATGCAGCCATGTTTTCGCGATGTCATCAGCATTATACGTCCACCGGCATTAAGGGGTTAAAGGAACACTATAGGCATCCACACCAATTCATCTCATTGAAGTAGTCGGGGTGCACTCTCCCTGTCCCCATAGCCCTGCAGTTCAAAACATTGCAGTTTCAGAGATATGGCAATTTTTATATTGCAGGGTGATGACTGCCTCTAGTGGCTCTCTCTCTCAGAGGTGCTTCCTGCATTTACACAGAGTTTAACTCAGTTTCGACACTGGATGTTCTCACACTTCTCATGAGCACATCCAACATCTTAAAAATCCCTATAGGAAAGAATGGATTCACTGGTTTATTATGCGGAATGTCTGGAATATAGAAACATGTGTATTCCTAACACTATAGTGTTCCTTTAAATGGACACCATAGGCACACAGACGACTTCAGTTCATTGTAGGGGTCTGGGTGCAGTGTTCCTGTCACACATGGTCCTGCTTGCTAGGTGACTTTAGGCCGCCTAACTCAGGGCTTGACAAACTTGTTTGGAATCTAGGAGCCAGCTAAAAAAATTAGGAGCCAGTTTTTTTTAAGGGACACTATAGTCACCGGAACCATTACAGATTATTGTAGTTGTTCTGGTGCCTATAGCCTGTCTCTGTAACCTTTTCAATGTAAACGCTGCCTTTTCATAGAAAAGGCAGCGTTTACATTGCTACCTACTAAGAGCTCTAGTGACAGACACTCAGATGGCACTGTGTCAGTGTTCTACATGGAGGCGCTGAATGTTACCCATAGAGAACATATCCTCCCAATGCTTTCCTATGAGAAAGCATTGGCTTAGCTGAAATCATTTAGATCTCCACTATGGAGGCGGGACAAGCAACAGCCAAACCAGCATGGTGTGGGGAAAAAAGGTAAGTAAATACCAATCATGTGATCGGACGGCAGCAGGTACCTAAACAGACACCTACTCTCTGACAGACATACACACACTTGCTCTAACACTCAAACATTTTTATTTTTAATTCTAATCCACCCAGCCTCCCTACCTTTGGGAGAGCTGAGTGGACTTTCCCCGGGGTCCAGTGGGGCTGATATTCCTGCGCACGAGCGAGCAGTCTTTCTGGAGCTCCTCTCTGCTCCCTCGCACTGTCTGCAGTGATGCCGGGGCCAGAATGACGTCATACACAGCACAAGGGAGCAGAGTGGAGCTGCAGGAAGACTGCTCCCTCGTGGGGGGCCGGCTACAAAGCTCCCTGAGCTGGCTGCCTTAATGCCTCCATACCTCCCAGGACGGCCGGCTACAACGCTCCCTGAGCGGGCGGGCAGTCGGCCAGCTCCATTGTTTGCCCAGCTGGCCACTTTGGGTAAAAGGCTGACACATCCCAGACGCCAGGGCAAAATTTCTAGTCGCCATGGCAACCTGGTGCCTGGGATTTGCCGAGCCCTGGCATAACTGGTACTGGACATCCTCATTATTTATAAAGCGCCAACAAATTCCACAGCGCTGTACACTGAGGACATCCAACGTCAGTTCAATCCCCATAGAAAAGCTTTTGCATTCCCCCTCCCCCCTCACCGGGTGACACTGGAAGATGCAGAGTGCCAACCCAACCACAGAGGGGCATCGGCACTGGGATTGGTTAAGTAAATAACTGACGGATTTGGAGGGGAAGCAAGGGAGAGGAGAGTTAGAGGGAACTATGGTGCTAAGAATGCACATTTATATTCCTAGCACTATAGTATAAGTTGGCATAAAAAAGGACCTGACAAAAATGGTGCAGATTGGCATTGTGGCAGACATATAATATAGAATCTCATGTAACTAAATCCACATTAGTTTGTGTCTCTAATTTAAAAGAAAGTTTTAAAAAACTGATATGGGAAATGCAATGTTTTATTAAAAAAAAAATTAAAAAAGCTAAATGTGATCTATGTAGAAACATCTCATGTGTATGAGATATAGAGATATACACACACACACACACAAATAAAAATAATATACACACACACACACACACACACACACACACATAACATAGGGGAATAAAAAGGACACTGATCACAAATAGCACCCATGGTTATACAACCCCCCTGGCCTCCCACCCGTTTGTTTACAGCTGTCAGAATCTGACATGGAATTTTCTCACAGCTAAACAAAAATATGGTATGATGTCATCAGAAGACTGCTCCCTAGACAGTGTTCGTTACACAGCTACTTGAAAACGACATTTCCATTCGCCAAAAGCCTAGCTTGTACATTCAGAGGACCTTTTCAACATACATAAGGGTGGAGAAATAACAAACACCTTACAGTGCATATCAGAGAGGTTGTAAGAGGCAGGGTCAATCTTTGCCTTCTGTAAAGTTTCAATCCTTCTTGGAATGCAGTCAAACAAGTCAAGAACTGTTTGTAGTAGGATATCACATCATTCTTAAACAAGGCTCCAGTACTTTAACTCCTTCACAACCAAGTTATTTTTATTTAAACAACAGCATAACATTTTGTTTAAATTGTACATTTTATGTTGTATAAATTGCTGTTTAAGGATATTAGGGGTGGGGGCACTATTTTTTTTTTAATTCACCAATTATTTACAGATCATAGGAAACCCTTTTTCTTGCAGGATTTCAGACAAGGGATTGTTGGGAATAATCTGACAAGCATGAACGATCTACAGGAGAAGATAGATCAATGCTAGTAGAACATTAGTACAGAATAGGGTAACTACCTCTAACTACAGATTTCTCTGCAATGTTCAGTGTAAAATCTGCAGACCTGTATTTATGGAGTGTCTGACATCAGTGTGAAAATCATCAGAGGGTAAGTGGCTGAAACGTTAAAGGACTCTGTTAAACAAAGTAGTGGTTGTAGAACCATGTGATACCTTATATGATAGAGTGTTACCTTGTGCAACTCTGCCCACAGCAGAAATCACCTTCCTAATGGGACACTTTAATCACCAGAACAACTACAGCTTTATGTAGTTGTTCCGGTGAGTATATAGTATGTCCCTGCAGGCATTTTTGAACTTGCTGCCTAGGAACATCTCTAGTGGCCATTCCTCAGGCTGCCACTAGAGGTGCTTCCTGGGTCAGTCTGTACCGAGATACTGAAAATTCCTCATAAAGATGCATTGATACAATACATTTAATGAGGTGATGCTGATTGGCCAGGCTGGTGTTTAGCTCCTTCCCTGAGACCTTGGCTGAGATCATCAGAATTGAAAACCCCAGCCAACCCAAAACTTTTCTATGGGAAAGAACTTAGATTCTGATGTCAGCCAAGTAGGCGCATTGGGGGAGATGCCAGATGCCAAGAGCCCTGGAAAAAGGCGAATAAATCACCGGAGTTAGCAAGGGGCCAACCACCTAAACAAGGGTTTTAGAACTACTGCCCCTTTAAGAACCTAATGGCGTTTGTGGAAAGCAAGCTTCTTAAAATACCATCAAAATGTGTGAGGAGGAGGGGGAGAGCCAATTTACAAAAAAGTTGCATCATGGATTTCTGCTATACAGGAGATTGCAGGCTGGGAAGACAGCTTATACTCTACTCTGTATGGTTGTTATTCTATTTTAGTACCTAGAAAAACTTGCCCAGATATCTGTACAGAGCTCAGTAAAGATTGACAATTGCACACCAGATGCCGAAGGACAGAATAGTCCTAGCAGGGAGATTTGTATCTGGTGGTTGAAGATAATTTACACGTGAAAAACCCTGCGTGTTTTTATGTGATAAACTGCTACATGATGCAGCATGTGAAGAACTATTTTAAACTCTGTGCAAGCAATTAAAGGGATAGTACAAGCATCATAAATGCTTTATCATTGAAGTGGCTGTAGTGTCTACAGTCCCTTGGTGATGTCCTTCCACTCAGTGTTAAAATATGTTTACATCAACTCATCACCTCTATGCTTCTTCAGCAAAGAAGGAAGTGTTAATCTAAACAGCGATGGGCAGCAGTGATTGGCTGGTTCCTGGAATATTTATACATAAGGAAACAGTTTATCTGGCTCTGATAAATGGCCTTTAGATCACGTAAAGAAATTGGACTTTTAATCACATGTTGGCTGCCTTTGCGATTACTAATCAAAACATCTTGTTTAACAGCGGTCATGGATTGCATTTGGAGGGGAGGGGGTTCTTTCAAAAATGTTAATCCATCCAGTTTTAGAAACTAGGAAAGATTAAAAAAAAATTAAAATTTATAAATATAGGGGGCGGGGCCTGCCCGCCATGCTGACCGGTCGCATGAGGGAGAGGCTCCTGCAGAAATATGGCCTTCTCGACCGATAATCTGGGCTTACAGCCTATATCAGAGCTGGAGGGGAACAGCAAGGTGCCGGAGCTGAAAATGGCGCAACAGCGGGCTCCAAGATCGGGAGTTTTGGGGCCCCACGGGTCCTACAAGGCTTTGGAGCTTGCGGCCTCCACGTGAGAGAGGCGGGATGGACGGCCGCCACCCTGCCTACTTGCCTGGCAGGCCGCCACATGACAGCTCTGGGGCACACCTCACAGGCCCCTTCCCCCCCCCTCTGGACCGGGGGGGGATATCCCGGTCCCCACTGGGGGGCAGTGAAGCGATCACCGCCAAAACCTGCGGAGCGCACTCTGAGGCCCAGGACCTAAAATGGCCGCCACACTGCCTCTCGGCTATCTGATCAGCACTTCACCTCCTAAAGGGGACTGGAGCTCCAGCGAACAGGCAACCAGCAACGGGGGTCACCTGCCCAACCCTCAACCAAGACAACATGGCATCCCAACAGGGTAGGGCTACACAGTCCCCAGCTACCCACCTGCCGCAACACGTCCAGAACAAGAGAGACAAGTGCGGGCGCCAGCCATAAGGCGAGACAGGAGACCATGACATGACCAGCACCGGGCACTGATGATCGGCTCACCGACACACTACACCCTGCGTTGTCACATGAGCACAGCAGAAACACTCTAACCCAGGAAAGCAGGCATACCTCTCAGCCCACTGTCTCCAGCAGCCCGACGGAGCAGGACAAGGGGAACGGAGTGACCTACAAGCAGGGACCCAGTGGACACAAATAGTTTGCAAATTTGTGACTCTCACATTTATAATGCATTTTTACTGCTCTAAAACACATAGTTTGCTATATGCTTTGCTTTACTTGTTTTTATGCTACATTCTAATTCTCTTGCAAATACTATGTGAAGATGATGTAGGCAAATGTAATAAGCAACTGTTATAAGCAAATGTTAAGAATTCAGATGTTATATGCAAATATAGGATCTCCATCTACTTAAGTGCCTACAGCGATGACTCAGCTAGCATGTACCTACTCCTGTGGATCTAACTACCTACTATAGCCAATCTAGCAACGTCAAGCATAAACTGTTATACACTTGTTTCATTTAATTCAACTCTGTTAGTTAAGCTAGACACGCTCGGTTAGTTAAGCTAGAAATTTGTTTTTAAAACTGTGCGATTTTTCATGCCACTGCTAAACATGTATTAATCCTGCAATACGCTGTTGTGGCGTCTTTTGAAACCTTGTACCCACCCGCACAACAAAAATAAAGAATTAAAAAAAAAAAAAAAAATTTTTTTTTTTATAAATAAATATATATATATATATATATATATATATATATATATATATATATATATATATATATATATATATATATATATATATATATATATATATATATAATACTAATGTTATCACCAGGAACAAGCTTTACCATAAGATTCTAGATTACAATTGGAGTTTATTTTGGTTCTGTGCCATTTTGCCACTATACCATCAGGTGAGGTTTAGCCATTGTTTACTTTGTCTATACAGTTTGTCCATGACATCACTACTTGCGACTGAACCCATGCAATAATAATGCTCATGTTTTCAAGACCAATTAACCAGCAATTCAGGAACTAGTCTGTTGGCTTGGTAGGAGCACTGTGTTCTTTATATTGCTTTGAAAGCGTACATATCAAAAAGCAGACACAATCAGGATCATTCACCATTATGAGAATCCAAAGTAAATTTCAAAATAGCAAAATTGGGAAAACTCTGCTATGTCAGCTATATTTCGGCCTAAAATTTTAAATTCACTTTGAATTCTTGCTTTAGTAATAAACGTAAGTGGTTTACCTTTGCAACTGTATTTTGCGATTTTGAGTTATTGCCAAGGTAAAACCTTTTGATTGGTGTTTATGTACACATCTCTCTTTAAACATTTCCCCCTTATATAGAGCTGGTGTAATCAAATAGGTTTTCTTATATCAAATCTTGAGTTATTGCCAGAGTTTTAAAGATCTAGCATAAAAATATTTTTTTACCCGGGCAAGAGGTGCATCCATACAAGTTTTCATATTTTTTGTTTTAAACCGTTAAAACGGGTTTGGCTCCCAGGGTCTCTGCATTAGTCAAGTTACACACTAATGTGGACTTTGCATTCATTAACACAAAAACAACAACAAAAGCTAGGGATAGACCAATTATCTTTTTTTTTGGCAAATAAAATCTGTATCGGCCACTATTGATACCGATATTAACGATAATGTTAGAGGTGGCGGTGGCCCATAAGGAGGCACAGATGGCTGTCTTTGGGCACACTGACTCTTGGAGCGCAAGAATCAAGTGACTGTCAGTAAGGAAGCGCACAGCGCTCCCCCCTACCAGTCACTCAGTGTAGCGTGGTTGAGCAGAGCGGATCGTGGTACAGGAGCTTCAGTTTCCAGTATCACCCGGACAGACAGGAAGTGCTCACAGAGAGCACTGCCTGTCAGTCCGGCTGGGTACAGGAAACTGAAGCTCCTGAACTGCGGTCGGCCACGCTACAAGAGAGATAATGAGGTACACCAGGGAGGGAAGAGTACCACTAAGGAGGGACACACACACACACACACACACACACACACACACACACACTAAAGGACAGAGAGGGGAGAGGACCCAAAAGGAGGTGAGAGGTACACTAAAAGACAGGGAGGGCAGGTGAGAGGAAAGGAACACTAAGGGACAGGGAAGGGAGGGGAGAGTAACACTAAATATTCTTGAAGAAGAAAAAAAAAAAAAACTGACTGGCATCTATATTTTGTGCATGTACCACTTAAAAATAAAATTTTAAAAAATTTGCTACAAAAAAAAGTTTTAAGTAAACATGTTCAGTAAACAGTACTTATGTAGAAATTCTTTTTTTTCCCAAAATAGTAAATGTACAGAATATTGGTATCGGTAAATTATCGGCCTGAAAGTTCACAGATTATTGGTATCGGCGCAAAAAAAATTTTTTATTTTTTTTTTAAATCAATATCGGTCGATCCCTAACAAAAGCCAAAGGACTACTACTTGAAAGATCTTGACATCTATAGTGGCCATCAAGTAACACATCCCAAGAACAAAGCAGAGCTCCAATCACGCTCAAGATGTCTGATTACAAATTAATGTTGCAGAAGACTATAGCTCCCATGATCTCCAGCCATATTTTGTTCTCTAGCTGAGCATCATTAACACTGTAGCTTACAGCAACTAGTGTAGTAAAGGTTAGCTAGCCATCACTTATCCAACATACAAAAAAAGTGTCCATATGAAAATATCTTGGTTTGTATACTAGTCAACAATAGACACACAGAACAAAAATAAATGTATGTATAAAATAAAAAACAGGAATTAAGACTGGGTTAAAAAAAGTTTTTTTATTGTTTTTCTGTTTAAATTAAAAATAAAAAGAATCCTTTTTAGATTCTGGGTTATAAACATGATTCTGACTACAATAGCCATTTTTGTGTGTTTGGGGGAAGGAGTATAGAGCTCCCATATCACCCACCCACTATATCACCTTTGTTTATACCCCCCATAACAAGCAGAAGCCCCCTGAAACACAATCTCAGAGTACTAAAATGCACTTCAGATATAGGGCCACTCAGGTGACCAGTGTACTGCATCATATACCAGTAATCTTTGGGGCGGGGAGGGGGGGAAATTACTCATAGACGTGGATTCTATCATCTGCTGCTGACAAAATGGCAGCCCCCGACAGCAAAATGGTCCATATGCACCTCAATTCCATTTTTAGTAGCGTTCATTGTAACCAACAATATGAATATTACGTATTATAAATCATACATTTTAAGTGCTAGAATGGCATGACAGAGCATACATCTGAGGCAGGCTATATAAATCTGTTTCCAACCTCATTTAATAACATTCTAAATTTGATTCTGGGATCTTTCCTATTCTGTGTGTGCCCCTACCTTAGTTTAATGGGAATTATTACTTTATCTACAAAATGTTAAAATGTGAAATACTAGATCAGAAATTGGTGTATTTTCTTGCATTGTTAAGGCTTACATATGTAGTCTAATCTAAAAGTTTTCCTCACTTTCTTAGCAAACATGCTTACTGTACATAAAAAAAAAACAAAAAACCTATCACAACTTTATTGAACTCGTGAAATTGGGTAATGTTGCATCTTACCTCTCCTACAAAAATAGACATGATTACCATTACAAAATACTGCCTTCTACTACCAACTGGTTCTTTTATTTATTTTTTATTCACGTGGAAAAAAAAAAATTTATATTTTTTTTATTATTTTTTTTACACACACGTAGGTTTAGCTCCATTTGTTTTTCTGATGCTGCAGACTACAGCTGAGGTAGTACAAGTGTGATTACTACAAATAAATTTTTTTTAAATCATTTTTTTTTAAAAGTTCTAGAGAACTAGCAGCAAGTAGTGAAATCTAGAAAAAAAATGGATTAGGAATCAGATATTGACTTGTGGTCAAGGTTTACTGTGTAAAACTGAGCTGTAGTGAGTTCATAATGGAGTTGCAAAATAATGAGGAAAAGGACTGTTGGGGAAGTGGGGGGAGATCAACTCAGCCCAATGTTTGCCTGTTTTCCCCTTCCCCTTTGTTTTCAACTTACTGTTTAGTGAATAATCCCCACTTATCATAGAGGTGTACAGTTTACATCATGCCAAGGAGGTATATGCTACTTTCTTATATGCCTTGCTTACAGAGCTACTTCCTGTATTCCAGAACTTTTTTTTGGGGGGGGGAGTTCAACAGAAGTCTATTATGACGAAACTATCTCACTCCAGATGCTAGGGAGATTGTGGGGGATAAATTAGTACAAAATAGATCATAAACAAAAGGTTATCCATTATTGATTATAGGATAAGAGCATGCTGAAATCATTGGGTAAGACCAAGTGACTGTCCACATTGGCCAACAACAGGGCTTTGTAAAACAGCCATATTAGAAACAAGATACTTTTCCTTTTCCATTTACACAGTGTTCATAATGTCAACACCATTCAATCTATAAGGGTCTTTATTATTGTAACAAATAGTGTAAGAAGCAGTGAGCTTCTTATACTTCACCTTGATAATTGAAATCTGAATTGACCAAATAAAAGTCCAGTAAACATAATTCCTCTCCTGTGATATATAAGAAGCACTCACTGTCATTTACACCTATATTTCAAAGGTTACTGCAAGCATAACAACCAAAGCCAGCTGTAGTGGTTATGATGCTGGTAGTACCCTCACCCATATACCCAGTAATGGTTTTCCCCTTTACCTGGGTCCCTGCCAGGTACCAGGGATCCTCCTATGGTTAGTGAGGTTTTACAGGAGACATCAGTCAGTTAACCCCCTCTGAACCAATGAATGCAATTCCACACATAGGAATATGCACACAATTGAAAGTCGCCATCATGGCACTCTAGTTCTGGGCTGGCACATACAGACTCTATGCAACATAACCATTTCAAATCACTGAAGTAGTTATGGTGCTTGGAGTAACCCTTTAGATGGTGCACATGAAGATATTTGGAACATATGGCTGCAAATATAGCATGAATGATGGCAAGCATAAAGTTAGGCCTGGGGAATTAAGTACGGTCATAGTTAAATACACAATATTTAACTATAATTTTAGAACCAAGGCAGAAGAGGAAATCATGTATACAGCTCCCCGTTAATAAACACATCCAATTTCAATTAAGCCGAAGCCTTTTTGACATTACATTCTCTAATATTTATTTACAAAATCAGCTCCTGGTGGCTGCAAATGGACACACTGACATTACAAAATGGAGTCACCTGGAGTATAGCTCTACACTACACAAAGCATGGATTGTCATACAAGTGACTGGGGACACTTAAAATGGTGGAGAAGATCTAAGGAGTTAAACTTTATTGCTGTAAGTGAAGCGCATATTATCCCCCTTTTGCTGCCAGAAAGCAATGTTAAACATGGAGGGTGTTTTCCGCCCCAAATGATCAATCAGTCAGATACCACTAGAGTAGGTAGCCTATGTTATGATTACTGCCAAAATTGTGGTCTTTTCAACACAAATGCAGCCTATAATTGATTTTTCAACCGGGCATAAACAACCATTGTGTCAACAAGGAAACTACTGTAATTACTTGCATAATTTCCAAGTTCTGGAGCCACTGCAGTCCTTGCTCTGGTGAAGTTACATAATTACCATCTCTTCTAGATGTCCCTATATGCCAATTTATTCCAAAAGTGCTATGATGAATTGTTTGAAAGTAGCTGGAAAAGTTGATGGTTGATTAAACTTTTTTTGTTGCGAGAAGTCTGTTTTGTTGTTTTTGCAGATGCGGCTGCTATCACTGGTCTCTGTTGAAGATCAAAGAAAGCCTCAAGCTCCATTTTTTCTATAATATACCTGCATATATATAAAACACAATCAGACATTCACATATAGTTTTACAGATACCAGTCTCTATTCCTGGTTGCAGGTTCCAGAGTCCAAGTCTTCTGCGCAAATCATCCGTCATCCCTCCCCACCCGCTCGCTATTGAATATCAAATGAAGGGATGCTTTCGCTGAACGTATGATGAATTCCATCATTCCCACCAAGAAATCGGGTTTAAAATAAATACTGGGGTCAGATATTTTGAGGAACAAGAGGGATAATACCGTAAAGCCTCTTCCCATATATTAAGGGATTTCCTTTTTTAATTCCATACAAGATCCTAAATAGGTTGCATCTTCTAATTCTGCAAGCGTCAAAGCACAACTGCGTCTTCTTCTCCGCTTTCCATCTTCCAGCACCTCACATAAAATTCATATTTTTATATATTATACTTATATATTAAAAAGGGGAGGAGGGGGAGGAATAAAAATATATATATATATATAAATGGGAGGAGGACAAGGTTCTTGCCACATCCTACCCCCGGAGAAAGAAAAGGTTTAAAAAAAAAAAAAGAAAAGAAACAAGGTGAGAGGCAAAGAGAAAGGGCACCATTTGTGACAGCCTCCCCTACTGCACTCATGCCCAGTCTTATCTCTGCCCATCCATGGCAGTCATGGCTTTTTGGGGCCCCCCAGCAGGCTGGGTGTTGGGGGGCCATGCTGGTTGCGGATGATGGTGGTGATGATGGAGATGTGTGGTGGGAGAGGCTGGAGGAAGCCACACTGGCTGCTGGCCAGGAGGTGAGGAAGCCCAGTAAGGGTTAAAGTTGCCAGGAGGGGAGCAGGCATTGGATGCAGCTGGGCTGCCGCTGTGCTGCAGACTCTCTGAGGTTCGCAACTTGGAGAACATAGCCAGTGCATCAGGGAAGTTGGGCGGTGTGGCTGGTGTGTTACTTGGGGTGCACATCTAAAAAAAATTAAATAAAAATTGTCAATCAAAAGGTTGAATATTTCTTAGGACTGTCACATTAAAGTCAAGATGCAGGTTTAAGAGATGAGCGAGATCAAATTCTAGAAGGCTCACAATAAACACATGCTTCCGCACACAAGTGACTACAGATTTACTCTATAATGAGTTTATTAGCACAATAAAAGAATACCCATGACTTTACAAAAACAAACTCAAAATTGAAAGTAACACCCCATTACTCCTATAGATCTTTCTATACCTTACAAATCTGGCTTCAGTGACTTTTTTCCATTCAAAATTGGTACAACTAACAGCTTTACTTAGAATAATTTCTTAACTACTGCAAAAAATATTATATATATACATACACATATACACACACACACACACACACACACATATATATACATATACACACAGTTGCAAGAAAAAGTATGTGAACCCTTTGGAATGATATGGATTTCTGCACAAATTGGTCATAAAATGGGATCTGATCAGCATGTAAGTCACAACAATAGACAATCACAGTCTGCTTAAACACAAAGAATGAAATGTTGCCATGTTTTTATTGAACACACCATGTAAACATTCACAGTGCAGGTGGAAAAAGTATGTGAACCCCTAGACTAATGACATCTCCAAGAGCTAATAGGAGTGAGATGTCAGCCAACTGGAGTCCAATCAATGAGATGAGATTGGCGGTGTTGGTTACAGCTGCCCTGCCCTATAAAACAAACACACCCCAGTTCTGGGTTTGCTTTTCGCAAGAAGCATTGCCTGATGTGAATGATGCCTCACACAAAAGAGCTCTCAGAAGACCTACGATTAAGATTTGTTGACTTGCAGAAAGCTGGAAAGGGTTATAAAAATATCTCCAAAAGCCTTGCTGTTCATCAGTCCACAGTAAGACAAATTGTCTATAAATGGAGAAAGTTCAGCACCGCTGCTACTCTCCCTAGGAGTGGCCGTCCTGTAAAGATGACTGCAAGAGCACAGCGCAGACTGCTCAATGAGGGGAAGAAGAATCCTAGAGTGTCAGCTAAAGACTTACAAAAGTCACTGGTAAATGCTAACATCATTGTTAGCGAATCTACAATACATAAAACACTAAACAAGAATGGATTTCATGGAAGGATACCACAGAGGAAGCCACTGCTGTCCAAACAAAACATTGCTGCACGTTTACAGTTTGCAGAAGAGCACCTGGATGTTCCACAGCAGTACTGGCAAAATATTCTGTGGACAGATGAAACCAAAGTGGAGTTGTTTGGAAGAAACACACAACACTATGTGTGGCGAAAAAAAGGCACTGCACACCAACATCAAAACCTCATCCCAACTGTGAAGTGTGGTGGTGGGGGCATCATGGTTTGGGGCTGCTTTGCTGCGTCAGGGCCTGGACAGATTGCTATCATCGAAGGAAAAATGAATTCCCAAGTTTATCAAGACATTTTGCAGGAGAACTTAAGGCCATCTGTCTACCAGCTGAAGCTCAACAGAAGATAGGTGTTGCAACAGGACAATGACCCAAAGCAAAGAAGTAAATCAACAACAGAATGGCTTAAACAGAAGAAAATAAGTCTTCTGAAGTCGCCCAGTCAGAGTCCTGACCTCAACCCGATTGAGATGCTGTGGCATGACCTAAAGACAGTGATTCACACCAGACATCCCAAAAATATTGCTGAACTGAAACAGTTCTGTAAAGAGGAATGGTCAAGAATTACTCCTGACCGTTGTGCACGTCTGATCTGCAACTACAGGAAATGTTTGGTTGAAGTTATTGCTGCCAAAGGAGGTTCAACCAGTTATTAAATCCAAGGGTTCACATACTTTTTCCACCTGCACTGTGAATGTTTACATGGTGTGTTCAATAAAAACATGGCAACATTTCATTCTTTGTGTGTTATTAGTTTAAGCAGACTGTGATTGTCTATTGTTGTGACTTAGATGATCAGATCACATTTTATGACCAATTTGTGCAAAAATCCATATCATCTCAAAGGGTTCACATACTTTTTCTTGCAACTGTATATCATATTGTGAACAAGTGAAAATACATTAAAGCTAATTGCACACTAAATTTTTTTTCAGGTGAAGTGCATTATAAAGAAAAAAACAACAAAAAGGAGGCTTCATTGTACATGGACTAACATATGCCTCACACGGAGACAAGGGGAGTGCCCATCAATTTCAACTTCTGTGTAATAATGGACAAAATGGCTTTTTTTTGGCTATTAAAAGGGTTACTCTAAGAATCACGACCTCGTTCAGTGATTGGAAGTGGTCATGGTGCCTGGAGTCTGTATGTGCAGCTCTTTGCTTTGAAACCCTACAGCACCATTGGGGGCTCAACCAGCAAGGAACTAGAGTTCTGGGCTTGCTAATATCAATAATGTGCATATTTCGAAGCACGTGTGTTCATTTATTGACGGAAAGCAGTCAACTAATGCTCTCAGCCAATAAATGAGCGGCAGGATCAGAATCTGGCTTCTAAAGCTCTGTAGAAGCTGCATATCTTAAAGAAACACTATATGGTTAGGAACACAAACATATATTCCTGACCCTATAGTGTTAAAACCACCATCTATCCCACCTTACCCTCCTAAATATAGTAAAATCTTACTTGTATTTAGGTCTGCAGCAGCTGCTTCTGTCCCTGATCTGCCTGCTTGGCTCACATCATTAGAAGTGATTTGGTGAGCCAATCACAATGCTTTCCCATAGGATTGGTTGAGACTGTCAAGGAGGCAGATCAAGTGCAGAGCCAGCACGAGCCAAACACAGCCCGGGCCAATCAGCATCTCCTCATAGAGATGCATTGAATCAAGGCATCTCTATGAGGAAAGTTAAGTGTCTCCATGCAGAGGGTGGAGACACTGAATGACAGTGCTGCAGTGTACAGCACTTCCCCAAGAAGGCCCTCTAGTAGCCAACTGAGGAGTGGCCAGTGGAGTTATCCCTAAGCTGTAATGTAAACACTGCATTTTCTTTGAAAATACAATAAGCTTTAGGTTTTATCTGGTGACTACAGTATCCCTTTAAACCTGACTGCAGCGCAAACCAGGAGCCCATAGGGACTGAGGTAAGAGGGAAAAAAAACTTTTCAAAAATGGTTTGCCCCGTTGAGGGAAATGGAGCTACTTTACTCTTCTCACCATAACCACGATGATGGTTAGAGTAACCTTTTAAAAACAAACATACAGAGGAACCAAAATGTTAATAAATAATAACAACCTCTAGTTACGAAACAAAACACCTAAAATTTACACTTAAACGTTGTTCTATATTAATCTTATATTAAGGGATATTCATTTTTGTATTCACATGTAAGAGGAAAATTGGCTTAAACAATTAGCTCTATATTGCATACTTTTTTTTTTTTAATAGATTTTTAAAGGAACAAAACAGTTCATACTTCAGACCTGATTGAAAGGCTCTTGACTGTCCGAGCGTCATGCTGATATCTAATGCCCAGTGTTGTGCACTATAAATAGGAAGTGTTTTTTGTTTTTTTAAACTTTCTACTTTTATATAATGTGAATAAGTTCCTAAAAGGGACAGTGTAGGCACCCAGACCACTGCAGTGTCCCTGTTCCCATAAGTCCTTCAATGTAAAACATTGCCTTTTTAGAGTAAGGCGCTTCCTGGCCTTCCATGGAGTTTGATGTTTTGCATGAGGACTCCCAGCGGCTTTAAAAAAACAAAGTTTGTCCTACTTATGACATTAGCAGAGGAGGAGTATGAACCAGTGCAAGGGACATTGGCACTAGAGTAAGGTTTGTGACTGAAAGGTTTTTTGTTTTTTTTTTTATCATTTTGCGGCCGGAGAAGGGGCGAACGTTATACAAGATTTATTGCAAATCAATAAAAAAAAAATTTTTTTTTTTTTAAAAAGTGGGTAATTTACCGCATAAGTTGTTCACAGGTACACCTCAAAATAAAAATAAAATAATGAAATAATAATAATAATAATAATATAAATATATATATTTATTTTTATTATTGTATTATTTTATTATTATTTATTTTATTTTTAATTATATGTTTATGCGGAACCAATACATAAAATAAGTTACATTTAAAGCTAGGTGACATTTAAGTATAGGCGCTGTTTTTGTTTTTAATCGATACGCCCACATAACCCCTTAGGACACATAACATGTGTGATATGTCATGATTCCCTCTTATTCCAGAAATTTGGTCCTTAAGGGGTTAAAGAGACCCTATAGTCACCAGAGTATAATCATTATATAGGTTCTTTAAAAATGTTTGCTGATTGGGGTGAACTTTTGTACTGGCAGACACACCTGTGAAAAGTCCACACTGATTGACAGCCAACACAATTCTACTCAGTCATTTTACAAGGCCCCCATAGTTCTCCAAAAAAAACCCCCCAAAAATAAAAAAAACATTTTACATGTAAGCCGATTTGTTCAAAACACATTGCATGATCTGTGAATAGCTCTTGTGCAACACCCCCACCACCAGACGAGAAAATTCCTGAGCAGTGAACGTAAGTGGATTTCCTTTTAATTTACAAAAAAATAAAAAATGGCTATGGAAAAAGAAATGATCTTAACAGGTCTACATATGAAAAATTTCAGTACAACCAACCCGCATTACCAGTAAATGGAATCAAACAATACGTTATTTGTAAACAAACAATTGTTTACACGCTACTCTACATGAGAGATTTAACTCCCTGACTAACACACACCATATGAAGATCACAAGTAAAATTATACTAGTCACCTTAAAACAATCAAATATTCTGACATGACTTCCATTAGTTCAGTACAGAGTCTAGGAGTGACTGCTTCTTTACTTTCTCCTTTGTTTTCCCCAGACTGTTTGTGTGCAAAGGTGGCTCTGATCTCACCATGTAAACAGCAAGCAGGGCCTTTCAAAGGTCACCGGTTGAGACAAGGAACCTAACCTATCACTAATTCACATCTGTGCAGCACAAATAGTAATTACCAAGCATTAACACTAAACCCCAGGCACAGATTAAAACCTTAACATCCGCAAAGTGTTTACAGACTAATCAAACAACAAGAGTTCTAAAATACCAACCTGCAAACAAAACATTTTTCAAAAAAAGAGGGCTGTCCAAAAAGATATTTCCTTAGATATAAGAGAAACACAACCGCCATAATGCTCTGTCAGGTGTAAAATACACTGCAGTTTTACAATAGCTGGGGATCTAATATGTAATCAACAATTTAAGATCACAATAAGACATTATCTTGTAACCTTATGCATCTTAAATATGTAGTTCTTGATGATAGGGTTTGTTTTTATTTTACAAAAAAAAAAATAAAAAAAATTTATATATATATATATATATATATATATTATATATTATATATATCACACACACACACACACACACACACACACACACATCAAAAGAAGCTACAAAGAAAAAAACGGTAAAAAATAAATAAAATAAAAAAAAACACATGCAAACAGAATATGAACCAGACAACAAATGATATAAACAAAAAAATTATGCAAAGATCATACACTTCCGCACACAGCACAGCATTGAAACCCACCTCTTAGATCCCCCTTCTCCACCCACCCGATTTCCTGGAAGCCATTTTGTTGTGGTGGTTACACATTCAGCCTCTGCAGTGTTTACATGCTGTGGACAGCCCTGTGGTGTCACACACTCACTAATCTGTTACACATTCCTGCCAGCGGGGACAGCTAGCCTGGACACGTGCACTCTAGAGAAACACCCATATTAACCTCTAAAACAGTTTGCACATAGTTTAACTACGAATTTATATCAACATAGCACTTACAAGGTTATTGAGAGTGTGTACAACATGAAAGACAAAATACTTACCATATGTGGATGATGCTGAGCACTGGGGACATTTGATTCTTGAAAAAAAGTGCTGAGTGCCGTCTGAATACAGATAAAAGGGAGAGATATTTGAGGTTATTCCATTTTCTAGCACATACATCTGGAAACAAGGCCGCAAATATAATTCCCATACGGTATAACTGCCCACAAACCAACATATTGCATCTGATAAATATGGAACAGAATCTTACTCTATGCATACATAGTGTAATACATATACAAGGAATTATTTTTGTTATAGAGCTGTGCAGTCTAACTGCATACTTGAAAATCCCAGGACATACTTGAAAACGAGAGAAATCTCAATGTATCTTTCCTGGTAAAATATTTTATAAATAAATAATAAATGTTCCTTCAGAACATTGCAACAGAATGGCAGGTGTCTGAAAACCAAAACACGAGTTTATTTATCAGTTCTCCAATGGAAAGCGCTCGTTTATTAATATATCCATAGACATTAAATAGATGTGTCATGACACATATACATCGAACAATGAGACGTGTGTCTGCACTCCTAGAAGCAGGATTACCAACAGCAACATGAACAGGCACATAAAAATGTCAGTACAAATTGCAAACAGTAATATAATTTGCAACGCATCTCCTTGGTTGAAAATTGAAAGCTGATTTCCACTAAAGATTTGTATGGTCAAGGGTACAAAATACAGATTATACACAAACACGAATGTCCACAACACCATCTTTATTCAGAGCCTTGTGTAAAAATCACAAAGAATGCAATAATGTAGCATTACGCATACTGGCGTGGATCAGCTTGTTTGATGTACATGATTGTGCAATACACAGTAGCAATAGAGGAAGCAGGGTTCTAATGCTGACTCCTCCTTATATGGCTGTAAACAATGTGTATTGTCCCTAGAGATGGGGGTGGGGAACATGCTCTTCATAAGATCACATAAACAAAGTAACTCTAATACCACAACAGCAGAGAGAAAGGAGTAGGGATAAGATTTGTGTGTGTGTGTCTGTGCGGCAAAACGAGGCGGGGATCTGACAACAATAACAATGGCATGTTAACCCTCTCACTGCTGGGCAGTCACTGTGCAGGATTTCACAATCAGGCATGTGACACAGGCAAGCTAAGCAAACAGGATTAGCGATTTAGAAATCATAATTTTCTTTCTTCTTGTTTATATTAGGAAATGTGAATGATACTGTACTTTAATAATTAACAGGTAAATAATACCAGTTATAAAATGGATATTCATCCATTTGTGTACAAACTACAGATACTAAATGTACTTTGCTCATATCAGATGTTTTGATATTTCCCCCTATGCATTTCTAAAGCATGTTTTTAAAAAACAAACCAAAAAAAAAAAACGACAAGTAATCTGCCTCAGAGAGATGATGGATTTTCATTTATTTCCCTAAACAGTGAACGAAAAAAAAAACTAAAACAAATAAACAACTTGAGCTAGAATCGTTAAGCCATCACTCAACTATTGAGTGAGCTCTGGTTATTTTAGCGTGAATTTTGCAATTCTGTTTTAATTTGTTACAATTAACGGTTCAGTGACAAAATATCTACAATTGGACTTTGTCTGTGTACATGCATTTGTTTGTTGTTCTTGTAACAAAAGGGGAATTTAAAATCACAAGTGAAAGTGTTCATATTGAAACCCCCTGTTCTCCCCTGTCATAATAAGGCCAGGCTCACATTATAGGAAGCAAACACATCCCATACTGGCAGAGGTGGATATATTGAGGGATCCGAGCAAGCTGTAAGTATACATGGGAGATAAAATTACTGTGTTTATAAATAGACACGTGGGCTTTAAACCAACCCCCACCTTCTTCTCCTTCCCATACTGAACAGACAGGTTTAACACCCTAAACTGCATCTCCCCCATCTCTGGATAGTGGTTCAACTATTTTATAACAAACCATCCATGCAAATAGAAAGCTTTGTGATGAAACCAATTATGGCTGCAAATAAAAATTTTTAAAAAAAAAAAAATCTTTGGAGAATTGTATAACCAAGGAAGGTTATACATTTACAGTAAATATGCAAAATAGCCATCGGTACAAGAAACATCGGGCTGTTTAAATAAAATATTTTTTAAAAGAATCATTACTTTTTTTTATATTTAGGTTTGCTTTAAGTGTGCATTACAAATAAATATCCTTTGTGTCTGATGACATACTGTAGATATAATACTGCAATATTTAAAATGACATTGCCCTGTATACACATTTCAATGTATTTATGCAATAAACACCATTGTGCAATCACACCTAAGGCAACACGTCCACTAGGCATGATTAGTATATAGATTGCGCCTAAATGTATTAATTCTTTCAGTATATCCTTGCCTGTACATGGACAGGCAATGATATACACAGGATGGAGGAGTGGGGGACGCCTGTATTATCATTTTCATCCATGATTTTACAATGATGTACACTAGAAGTACAAAAAGAATGACTTAAAAAAAAAAAAAATTAAAATAAATAAATCTATAAGGTTTATATGTATTACATCACATTATGTTAATTTAAATGGATGTGCGCAATCGTTGTCATCATGCAATTATTTAAGGTTACACATTTAAAGCGAGTCTGTACAGCATGCTTACACATTTTATAGGTAGTATAATGGTTGTAAGCTTTGTCGTTGACAGCTTTTGTTTGAATGCATGCAGCAATAGAACGTCATCAGTTATTTCTAGGGTTCAAATAAAATCACTCTGTCTGGTATAGCCTTTTTTTGTAAAGAAAACAATTAATGGTGTATATAGATTAAATGTTTTAGTGCACACACTACATGTGTATAAGCAAGATGAGTGTATATGTGCATGACATGAATTTTACAATATCATTTACATGTGCATTTACGTAAACGAAAGAAGCATGCCAACAACCATATATAAATTTTGTGTATATTACGAATGACTAAGCTTGGCAGTCCGGCATTTGTTGTCTGTTACCTATAATGCACATGAAGCCTCATGGACTATATTTCCTATAATGCTTGTCAGCCATTGTGTATTATCTTTAGATTGTAGGCTCTTTCGAGCAGTAACATTTGTTAAATTTCCACATTCGTAATATTGCACAGCGCTGCGGAATAAGTTGCCGCTATATAAATATCAATAATGATAAAATAAAAATATTTAAAAAAAAAAAAAAGACATCCACAGCCACTGGGCAGTCAAAGCTTAGCCCTCACCCCAAATGAAAAAAACTGTATGTATGCATATAAACAAAACAATACACCTATGAATACAATGCATGTGTACAAACGCAAACACATACATGCGCTCTATTTATATGTATACACACACACACACATTAAAATTACACACCTATATAAATATATACAGGATTGATATAATAGACTGATCAATATAATGGAATGATCGATAGAACAGATGGATAGATATATAATGATATATATAGAATACAATAATAGACAGAATCTATATGATAGATAGAATGATGGAAAGATATAATAGATACAATGATAGACAGAATTATAGACAGATAAATACAATAAACAATGACTGATGTAATAATGATAAATACATATAGTAGAAAGATAAATATAATATATATTGATAGATAGCTATGATATAGTTACAATGAAAGAGATATATATATATATATATATATATATATAAAAATAAAAAAGTATAATAGATAGAATGATAATGACAGATATATAAAAAAATAGATATAATGGATAGCTATAAGAATGATGGATAGATAGAATATAATGATATATATAAAATACCTATAAGAATGGATAGATATAATATAATGATATATATAATAATGGATAGCTAAAAGAATGATGGATAGATATAATATATATAAAATAGCTATAAGAATGCTGTATAAATATAATGATATATAATGGATAGCTATAGGAATGCTGTATATATATATATATATAAAATGATAATGATTTAATGATATAATATAATGATGTATTATAATGAGATATATATATATATATATATATATATATATATATATATATATATATATATATATATATATATATATATATATGCTATAGGAATGCTGTATAGATATAATAATATAATGATATATTATAATAGCTGTGGGAATGCTGTATAGATATAATAATATAATGATATATTATAATAGCTGTGGGAATGCTGTATAGATATGATAATATAATGATATATTATAATAGCTGTGGGAATGCTGTATAGATATGATATGATATATTATAATAGCTGTGGGAATGCTGTATAGATATAATGATATATTATAATAGCTGTGGGAATGCTGTATAGATATGATATGATATATTATAATAGCTGTGGGAATGCTGTATAGATATAATGATATATTATAATAGCTGTGGGAATGCTGTATAGATATGATATGATATATTATAATAGCTGTGGGAATGCTGTATAGATATAATGATATATTATAATAGCTGTGGGAATGCTGTATAGATATAATAATATAATGATATATTATAATAGCTGTGGGAATGCAGTATAGATATAATGATATATTATAATAGCTGTGGGAATGCTGTATAGATATGATATATTATAATGATATATTATAATAGCTGTGGGAATGCTGTATAGATATAATGATATATTATAATAGCTGTGGGAATGCTGTATAGATATAATGATATATTATAATAGCTGTGGGAATGCTGTATAGATATGATATATTATAATGATATATTATAATAGCTGTGGGAATGCTGTATAGATATAATGATATATTATAATAGCTGTGGGAATGCTGTATAGATATAATGATATATTATAATAGTTGTGGGAATGCTGTATAGATATAATAATATAATGATATAATGATATATTATAATAGCTGTGGGAATGCTGTATAGATATGATATGATATATTATAATAGCTGTGGGAATGCTGTATAGATATGATATGATATATTATAATAGCTGTGGGAATGCTGTATAGATATAATAATATAATGATATATTCTAATAGCTGTGGGAATGCTGTATAGATATAATGATATATTATAATAGCTGTGGGAATGCTGTATAGATATAATAATATAATGATATATTATAATAGCTGTGGGAATGCTGTATAGATATAATGATATATTATAATAGCTGTGGGAATGCTGTATAGATATAATAATATAATGATATATTATAATAGCTGTGGGAATGCTGTATAGATCAGACAGACAGATAGAACACATGGTGAGTGTATAAACACTGTCTGTCCTCCTCCCCCTCACCTCGAACTGCCAGTGCGCCGCCTGCAGGAGCTGCTTGGCCTGATCCGCCGCACACCCAGCCGCGAGCACGAACTGATTGATCATCACCTGGTGCCGCAGCTCCTCCATGTTCACCGACATCCCCGGGCCCCGCTCCGTGCTCCCCGCCCGGTCGGCCACCTCGCTATGTCCTCCTCCACTGGACCCGGCGCGTCACCCACACCGGGGCGGAGCCTACAACCCGACCGCGGTCTCTGATTGGGCGGGGCGGCTGCCCATCACTCTCGCTGAAAGCCCAGACTCCTCCACTCTATTGGCCCGCCGGGCTTGTTTTGGCTGCGCGCGCGCTGCGATTGGTCCGCAGATCCAACGGCCGCCCAATTCGATGTTTTGGATGGCGTTAGTTGGCCGCTGGCCTGTGTTGACGGCTGCAGACATACGGTTACTGATCGCGGATTGGCCGAGCGCAAAGCACACTAGACCGGGCTGCCGCTGATTGGTCGTTCTCAGACCGTTTGAAAGCGAGTCTCTGAGGCTTCGCGCGATCTGATTGGCTGCTCGGATCCCCAGTCTGTAACAACAGGGAAATGTGTCCAAGTTCATTGAGGACTTTGTGAGGGCGAGAGTCTCATGTCATGTGGAGGCAGAGACGGCCTTCCTCAGCTCTGTCTGAGAACTTCCCCTCTAATAAACACAGCCAGTCTCTACAGGACTTTACATCACCATGTTTTCATTTATAACACTAAATAAAACATCTCCAGTCACACTGTTTATATATATATACCAATATAACATATCAATAATTAAAATATATCCTGGAAATACCTCAAAACAATGAAGTTTACTAAAAATAAATATATATATATCACAACAATGTTTACAAAGCACATTTCCATTAAAATCCAACTTTTATGCGGATTAGTAACTATTTTCCACACAGAGCAATGGTTATCAAATACTGTTCGTTTTTGGAAAAAGTCCTTTGGGTAAGGGCTGTAAATTCCAGTGGGGTTTATTTAACCCCTTAAGGACACATGACGGAAATATTTCGTCACGATTCCCTTTTATTACAGAAGCTGTGTCCCTAAGGGGGTTAATTAACACCAAATGGGTGATTTACGAAACTATGAATTCAAAATTAATTTAAAGTTTTAGGCTCAAAAGGTTTAAGTGAAAATATAATTGTGTTGGGGGGCAGGGGAGGGATAGCAATGGGAGCATAATTTGCCCCTAACCAAAGTAGCGTACAGGAGGTTGTAGCCCACGGTCTCAAAGCGGCAAATAGGTTGTTGTTGAGATGTCTGTTGGCGGAGTATTGCAGAAGCACATTCACTCACTATGCACCCGAGCTCTCAAAATGTAATAGTTGCATAGGATCTTGACTCCACCAAATTAGCCTTTCTCATATTTTTCTGCAGTTGATTTTTTTCTCTAATTTTGCAGAAAACTAGGAAAAAAAATAATTTTCAACCCCAGAATGCAATTAGGTCTCTCCTTGAATCAAGAAGCTGCTATCCCACATATTAAATATTATATCCTTGAATATTATGTTTTAGCAAGAATTCATCCAGACGCTGTTTAAAAATCAGTATAAACTCTGATAAAACCATCTCTTCAAGCAGAGAATTTCACATCTTTATTGTTTTTATTGTAAAAATATTTCCTTTGCCTTAGACTAAATCTCCTTTCTTCCAATTTAAATGGGTAATTGTGTCCTATAGTTTATGAATAGATTTCCAGATAATGGTTTGTATTTGCCCCATATATATTTGTGTAATGTTATTATATCATATCCCCTCTGAGGCTCAGTTTATAAAAACACCTGATTTAGGCAAAAATAATGCTGATTTTAGTTGCAGTATATGATCATACATTGCATAACCCTGCCACAACGCCAATGTACCCCATTCTTGGCAGGTCCTACTCTAGCAGCCTTAACCCATTTACTTGGAAAATCTATACTATGAGGGCTTCCTGCAGTGCAAGGTTAAAGGAACACTCCACACTCATAAAGCATTTCAGTCAATATAGGGGCACAAAGACCCCTGCAGGCCTGTGTTCCACTTCCAAAGTGAATTAAAAAAACCTCCTAACCTAATTAAACTAGAAGTTTGCTTATGAACTTCACATAACATAGTACAAAAGTTATTCACAAGGCAGAACAATTATGTTTTCACAATGATTATTGAATGAGAAACAAGGGAAGTGACAAAGAATTGTTGCAACATAATTAGGATATTTTGTATAGGATGTAGCCCTTCATTGAATGCTCCACTTCTGTTTTTTTGATGTTGATATAATTCATGGTTTTTGGTATTGGTAGTAAACAAAACTGCTGTTAATGTATAGCTGAATAAATATAAAACAATAATGTTAAGTGCCATAGACACCAGTAACATTATCCTCGTCACCTAAACCAGATATAATTCAGATCTAGACTATCTTTTGGCACTTTAGGCATCCTATGCTATGCAATTCATGCCCCTGGCATAGTTTCATCAGTTTCCATAATGGTATGAATGGTGAAGTTGCCTGATTGATGTAGTAGTTGTTACACTATCGCTATGCTGTCTACTCACTATCTGGCTCTTTAAATCCATTATTACTATGTCCTTCTATTTTGAGGTGCTAATACTTTCTGCTCAATGCTAAATCCAATCAGGCAATTTGTGACAAGACATATTTCTTCCTTTTCGAGTCCATTTGGTTGCCAGTTCTTCAGTCAATTCCAATTTTGTGTAGTAGCAGTCAAGAAGCATTTGGTTCCATCCCCTCTTCCCATTAGTGGTCCTGGCAACATCTTTGATGATATAGTGTTTGATTCAATCTTGTCATATTCTGTGGCAGCATTCAGCAAAATCCCAGCTACCTGCAGAAAAAAAGGTCTCACAACAAGCAATTAATTCGGACTTTGACAGTGATGTCAAGCTATCTCCTTCCTTGACCTGCTGCCAGAAACTGCAATGTCTCCTTAAAGGATCACTGAATTCACCCAGGCCACTTCAACTCAGTGAAGTGGCCTGGGAGCAATGGCCCTTTATTTTTAACCATGCAGTGTAAAACAAAAATTGGCAGCCACTAGAGGTGCTTCCGCATCATCGATCGATAAAAACTCGGTGATGTGATGCGGACACCCCCACAGAAAAGCATTGATCAATGCTTTCCCTTGGAGAGTCTTGGATACGAGTGCTGCACTTGCTGCACATGTACATCAGGTGGATTGGACCATCACGGAAGAGTTTTTCTTCGGCTCTGTCACTCTGTTACCCCCATCCAGTCTGTCCCACCCATTTGTGTAGTATTCCACCTCCCTGTCATTTCGTAACAAACTAACAAGTTAAACATATTATTAAAAGAGAGCTATGGTAGGATTAACCCACAACGCCACACTTAATCAACACCTGCAAGATCTCAAGACCACATAGTAGTACATCATGAAACTTACAACAAAGAAAAGGTGGCAATAAATGTAAAATATTTTATAGATACAGATATCTAAACTATTATTAATTGAGCTAATAATTCTAGAAGGGCTCATTAAATCTATAAGTGCTCATAAAAAAAAACAGATTGACTTATAAATGATACATTTTGGACCATTCTCAAAAGCTTTAAAGGTCACACAAGTTGCAGTGTATACAATTAAGGATCATCACATACATGCTAAAAACATATGCATCACAGGCAAACCAAGTTTTTTATGGAAAGAAATACTAAGAATTTTACGAAGTTTACGTGCAAGTTTAAACTATTATTTCTGATGATATGTAGAGTCACCTTACAGTGCTTCAGGCTTGACAGAGTCTATAAGCACAGTATGTTCATAGCATATTTTACTAATAAAAAGGCATAGAGTAAAACCAAATGTCCATTTGCCCTTAAAATAATATATATTTTGATCAAATAACCAGAAAAATATACTGCAGCTCCAAAGATGTGTAAGAAACACACATTAAAAGAATACTCTAACACTTTGTATAAAATATTTATTTTTAAGCTTACATTGTCCTACTAGGCATAATTAACTACGCCCTCCATGTAATCCTGTAAATAAAGTATATCCTTACCTGGAATTCAGTGCCAATTGAAGCTCCTGCGCTGGGTTCCACACCCCTGCCGACATCATCACTACCTACTTGTGCAGACTTATCTTTGCAAGGAACGCTGCAAGGAATGCTGCAAGGGAAAAGGCCATTCCGTCTGTTGCCAGAGCACTGTGCGCAATGATGACAGACGTAAAGTTTGCAGAGAATTGACATTAGGTAGTCCAGAACACAATTCCGTCTGCCTAAGTCACATGTGCCAGGAGTGCAACTGGCCTCCGGCACAAAAGTGCAGATTAGTCCGCAAGTGCAGCTTTTAAAACAGAAATGCTGCACATACAAACTCATCCCACTATGACAACTTCTAAAAGCAGAAGTTGTCATAGTGATTGGAAAAACTCTTTTAAAAAATGTTTTTCATCTGAAACAAACATAAATAAATATTTGTACAGTATATATATTTTGTTAACAGCATGATCAGTCGCTAAATGTAATTTGCTCCATTCTCCGCTATATTCAAAGCTGTATAAGAGAACACTAACATTAATAATTAAAATATTTATTACCAATGTTCCTTATGCAAAATATTTAAAAAGTCTCTGCTAGGCAAAACCAGCAAAATAAAATTTGTCAAGGGTCCCTGACTGTGGTGTGTGTTAGCCCCAAAATGCATTTTGTTACATTTGTCTAATATTTTAGTTTTTTGTTTTTAATCACTTGTTGCACGTTGGACTGTTGTGTATAGTTAGTGTGTTTCTTCCCCTCTTTTTTCAGACCATTGACACAATTCATTTTGCAGTTTTGGTAGAGTTTATGTAGATCATATTTTGCGATTGAGGTATGTAGGGCAGCTTTACTGTACGGGGATAGCTTTATTTTGAGGGTGAGAGGACGATTATACTGTTCCTAGGATATACGCGCTTCAGTAAGTCCCATCTCCTTCTCCCTCTATCGTTACAGAATGATACAGTCACTCGAGGAGTAAGGTCATAAGGTTTACAGCAGATCTTGAGAAAATCCTGGTTGTCACTTTACCTTAAGAAGTTAAACTGTTAACGAACATTTTAACCCTAAACTTTGGAAGACGGTGTCCAGTCGGTCTACCCAGCCACTTACTTTACTGGCACGAGTCTTCAAGCAGGAAAAATTGACCTGGCACAACTGGTAGGCCCTATTACTAGCCTATCACTCGTTTTCCATTCAAAAAATGAAAAAGAGTGAAAAAGGACTGATTTCTGAATGGGTAGCTGAAGCACTTATTTCAGTGCTCTTCAATGAGAAACAGTCAGAGCATTTGGCAGCATCATGCTGTGCCTCTTCAACTTGAACTTGTACACTTTAAACTATTTCAAGTCTTCATGAGGAAGTGATTGACAGGCACAAGAGGCATTCTGACTGAAAAATATAACTGCGTTTTCTCACAATAGGCAATGTTTACGTAGGTCAGCCTTCATGGACATGCTCTATACAGCAAACCATTAGATTAAACAGACTATCTAAGCACCTAACAACTTTCGCTTAATTAAGCAGCTCTGGTGTTTAGATCATGCCCCGTTTCACTGCTCAGTTCTCAGCCATTCAGGAGTTAATTCACTCTTGTTTTTGTTTATGAAGCCCCAGCCACACTTTTACTGGCTGTGACTTGCACAGCCTCCATGAAAAAAAGTGGCTTTGATTTTAATCAGATCTTAAACAGCAAAAAGGTGCGCTATAATTCAAAGTGCAAAACTATTAAAGCAGCACACAATATATAGAAACATCACAGTGCAGTGGTATAAAGTGCTTGGTATAGTGCAAAGAACACACTTATACACACTTATAACAATCTGTGTAGAGCTTAAAGTGTTTCAATACAGTGCAAGTCACTAATATGTATAAGCAACAAATTGTATAAAAAGCACAGCTTATTAGTGCAAATAATTTGTGAAATGAGTAAAGTTTGCCACCCCCCCCATGTGACATCACAATGCCCCACCCATATGATTTGCCATGTTAACTAACGCCAGTGCTGCAGTGCCGCCGTGTTTACATTAAAAGGCCTGCAAGGACAGGCTATAGACACCAGAACCACTACATTAAGCTGAAGTGGTTCTGGGGACTATAGTGTTTCTTTAATGTGAAGTAAATTAGAGCTTAGTGCCACGAATAATATACTAGATTGCCTACTTACAACCAGATGAAGATGATGATGGGCTCTAGCTGCAGTCTGGCTCCACTGGTGTGGTGCAGAACAGGCTCTCTGGAGGCAGTTTGTAACTGTGGTCACAAAAATCAATGTTCTGGGAGAACGGGAAGCAGCTCCATTTTTTGGGGGGTCCTTTACACAGCTCAAGGTCTGGGTCCCAGGGTCCACCTTCATGTTCCACCAATGAGTTTGTTCACAGGTGGTGGAGTGTGTAAGGGATGTCCTGATATGTGTGTAGGGAATGCATTGTGTGAAATTGTGTTTGTATGTGTAAGGGCTGCAAGGTGTGTTTCTGTGTATGTATGGGATGCATTGAGTGTGTGTAATGAATGCATTGTGTGTTTCTGTGTGTGTAAGGGATGCATTGTGTGTAACAGTTGCATTGCTTGTGTATGTGTGTCTGTGTGTGTAATGCATTGTGTTTTTCTGTGTGCAAGGGGTGCATTGTGTGTGATGAATGTGAATCTCTCCCCCCCTTCAATTTCCTTCTCTCCCCCCCCTCCAATTTCCTTCTCCCTCCTCCCAATTTCTCTTTCCCCCCTCCCTAATATCTCTTCCCCCCTCCTAATTTCAATTTCCTTCTCCTCCTCCCAATTTCTCTTTCTCACCCCCCTCCTAATTTCTCTCCCCCTAATTTCTCTTTCCCCCCTCCTAATATCTCTCCCTCCCTCCTAATATCTCTCCCTCCCTCCTAATTTCTCTTCCCCCTCCTAATTTCTCTCTCACCCCCTCTCTCCTTTCTCACCCCCCTCCTTTCTCTTTCTCTCCCCCCCTCCTTTCTCTTCTCACCCCCCCTTTCTCCTTCTCACCCCCCTTTCTCCTCTTTCTCACCCTCCCTTCTCACCCTCCCTTTCTCCTCTTTCTCACCCCCTCTTTCTCCTTTTTCACCCCC